CCTGCACCACATACGCAAATGCCTCCCTGGGGCCTCAAACGCAGCTTTGCCGACTCCGGGCTCATTACGTTCTCCTCCAAGCTTGCTGCGACTTCTCCTGTATTTCCTATTTCAGTTAATGGTGTCGTCCTCCACTTGGTCACCCAAGCATAAGCCTAAAGTAGTTCTAGGCTCTTCCTCCTCCCTAACTTCTGTATTCATTCAAACTACAAGTCTTGCCAATTTAATTTCCTAAATGGTTCTCAAAACCATCATGTTCCCTATTCGCTCAGCAATTACCTTGCTGTAGGGTCGGATCCTCTCTCACCTCGACCATCACAATAGTTTTACGACTGCTTTCTCTCCAAACGCTCCCTCCTCAAACCCATCAGCCACCACCTCAACCTTGCGATCCACTCATAACCCCGCAGACTGTGCATTCTTCACTTACGTCTCCCTCCATCCTCCACCCTACCCTCACCGCCGCACCCCCGCACCTCCTGCGAACACTACAAACGTGCCATAACGCGCCCTTTATTGCCTTGTGTTGCCCCAATCTCTCTCTCTCCCCATCCTAGCGCCCGTCGTGGGACCAGCACTGAATTTTCAAAGTGGTGGACTGAAGTCAATCAAGTTGTTCAGGGTAAGAAGTTTCAGGCTTAAGCCTCAGCTCCAGGACCATGAGAAAGTCCTCAGTTTACCCTTCATGTATATACCGCGCAGGTATGCATCACACTAAGACGACTTGTAGGGGCAACAGTACATGATGCCGGATTCACTCAGGAGCTTCTCACATCTGCTCTTGTCTCTTCCAGTACGGCCTACAAATGAAAGATAAGTGAGGTTTCGAAAATCCCGTGTCCGAGCGTGCTGTTCTGCCTGAGATTCTTCACGCGTCTTACGCCGAAATGCAAAACCTTCACCATCTGTCTCTTAGGGCTCAGTGTAATCCTGACCCTGACTGCCATTTTATCTTGGGCCACACTTCCCTGGGCTCCCAGGCTCGGGTTCCTTGGACTCCCCTTAGTTCCACAAATGTGCCCCACTCCTGCTCGTGTATGTTCTTTGCATACGCTGTTCCCTGCCTGGAAGGGTCCCTTTTTCCCTTTTCACCTGGAGAACTACCACGGTCTTTAAGCGTCAGCTTCAATACCACTTGGTCCTGGTCCTGAGGGGCTTCCCTGATGCTTTTGTAGTAACTAAGGTTCCCTGACATCTGGGCTGAGGGCCCTCAAAACACACACAGGTGCAGGTTGTATGCCTACAATAACTCACGGGATGCCTTCGCGACAGAGACATGAAGGGGGCTTAAATCTTTATAATGGCAACTTGCAGATAGGTGTTAGTCAAGTGTCTCGAAGAAGGAAGGCCCTTTTTTATTGTGCACAAACTTGTTGCCTTGGCTGCTGGCTACCTTGTTTCCTTGAACATGTTTCCTATAAAACCCCTGCCAGGGTTCACGGTACTTGTTATTAATTTTTCATAACATTTGAAAAAAAATTAGATTCTCTCACACTAGATTGCACAACCCGTTCGGGAAAGGACTGCCTTTGTCTTGTTTACTGTTACTCCCTCAAGTCCGGCCTGCTCACCTGCCACACGTGACAACATCCGATGCGTAAAGAGTGAAGTGACTCGGAGCATTCCGGCTCTTCATAGGCCGCCCTGGCCACCCCCGGCGTCTTAGGCAAATGTGACTTCCCTCCAGCTACACACTCACTGCAGGTTGTTAGAGTCACGAAAAAGCGAGCTGATCACAGGGTACCGGTGGGTTCCCCAGTCTACACAACAGAAGTGCCAAAGCACCCATCACCCAAGACGCTTTGTGGCATTAAGCCACAAGAATGCCTGAAAACCCATTTTCGGCCTTAAAAGGGCTTTCCGTGTGGTTGCAGGCACACTGTTTGCATTGAGCAGAGTGGAGGGTAGGATAAAGCGGTAGTCAGTTGAATAGCCCGGGCTGCATATCAGTGCATAATAGTTTACAGCATTTGAGCAGTTTATTTTGTCCTCACTATTTTCTAAGCTCTTCTCTGACATTATGATAAAATCTCATACGCCTGACAACCTGAGCACGCATAAGCAGCCTTCCCCACTGTATTCAGAGACACCGGCCACGTTCCCCCGGCAACCGCCGCTGCCTGAAGGTTTCTTAATGCTCGGCCCATTTTGGGTTCACTTTATTTGGGCCATTAGTTCGGTAAAAAAAGGGCAAAAAAAAAAACCCCATAGGAGTATTCAAATGAAACAAAACTGCTTTTACCATAATTAGCAATCCTTTGCCTTCAAAACACTGTCCCACCTACCAGAGGTTTCTTATTAATGATCAGAATGAGAACATCATCTTATTAGAAGTCCCAGAATGAGTTCTGCTTTCATTTTAGAAGGGCCCAGCAAACCTCTCCACACACATAACTGTGTATATTTATGAGACACACGGGGAAGTCAAAAGTTCAAATCATTGGAATTGATTGTACCACCTAAATCTTTTCAAGTAATACCTTTCTTTTCCTTTTTTTTTTTTTTTGGTCCTTGACAAATAACCCCTCCTCTATATGTTTTGTTTTGTCTTTTGGGAAAGAGTGGCTCCACATTTGCTCCCTTACATGAAGTCATTCTGTGTCATCAGCTGGTTTACACAGGGCCAGAAATACCTGTGTTTACAAGGGCCAGAAATACCTGTGTTTGAGCCCAACGCAGAACAGTTACCAGTTGTGTGAGCCACCTGTGTGCTAAATACAACAGCAAAAACTAACCAAGTGGTGAGTGCAAGAGGAAGATTAAGTATTGTAAATGCCCTTTCAAAAGTATGTTGTACAGAAACAGTTGTATATATCTTTAATGCATGAAGTCATAGATAGATAGATAGATAGATAGATAGATAGATAGATAGATAAATTCTGCCTTTCCCAGCTAATTTTCCTTTAACATACGTCTTTTACTTTTCTTTCTTACTTAGACACTGCTTACTTTTCAAACAAAACGTCTTCCTGGGTTGCTTTGGTGGTAGTCTGGGATCCCTGTGGCAAGAAGTGAGCCCCCAGACATCTGGAAAAGACTGTCCGCCATCTTCCTAACAGAGACGGACCCTCAGACACACGGAGAGCCCACGGTTCTGATGTTCTGTGAAAGCAGGTGTCATTTTCTAGTGACGATCTGCAACCAAACCCCAAAACACGTAAGATTTGGTAATTTTCAAAACTCCTATGGTGCCCGCCCGGGGTTGGAGGGATTCTGCTGCTGGGCAAAAGAGAGCTTCCTTGTGCTTCTTTGAAGCACACTCCTCAAAGAGCTCTGCGTTTTGAGGCTGTGATGAGACTCTGGTGATCAAATCCCTCTTTAGGGGGTCACCATATCTTGAACCAGGTTGCAGCTCTCTTCGGCTGTCAGCTGATGAATGGAATGACTGTATGCGCCATTATGGTGCTCTGAGCTGGGGGGAAGCCGTGGAGGGTCATGTTTGTCTCCAGAAGTCAGTCAGCCTTGGAGGAGGAATCTACTTAGGAAACTCAGGCACCCTGGTCTCCTGGCGTCCTGGCTCCCATATCCCGTTGGGAAAGGGGAACTTCCCCACTCTTGCTTCAGGACCTTCACTTCCGAGCTGAGTCCTGGCTCCCTTGCTGCAGCCCACCCTAGTCTGCCGTCCTCTTCCTCACTGTCCCCTGGGTCCCATTGCCCGAGGGCCTCTTTCCCCCAGCAGAATCCGACCGCCACCCTTGGACTGGCAGCGTGATGCACGGAAATGATGATGACCGAATTTCCCTATGGGGGTTCAGGTTCTTGGGGGCTTCCTAGAGAAGGCACCCTAGTGATGGAAAGGTGAGGAGAATGTGATGGTTGCCGGGATTCATAAAAGAGGCGGAGACAGTTTGTCAACTCCTGGACCAACACTGAGGCCTGAGTAAGGAGAGTTACTCATCCGCAGGTAAGTAACACCTGTCACGTGTCGTCCGTGTTATCTCAGAGAAGACTAGAAGGAACCAAATGCACAGAAATAGTCTATTGATGTATTTTTTTTAACGTTTATTTATTTTTGAGACAGAGAGAGACAGAGCATGAGCGGGGGAGGGGCAGAGAGAGAGGGAGACAGAGAATCTGAAACAGGCTCCAGGCTCTGAGCTTTCAGCACAGGGCCCGACGCTGGGCTCCAACTCATGGGCCGCGAGATCGCATCTGACCAAGTTCGGCAGCCAACCGACTGAGCCACCCAGGCGCCCCTTTACTGATGTATTTTTAAGTCATCAGTATTTTACGATCTGGCCTAACTGGATTACTTTGCTGTTTGGATGGGTCATCCAAATACACAGAAGTACACTTTTCGTCCCCGGGAACGAAGGCGACAGTGGTTCGAGACTCCTCTGAATACTCAGGCGTACTGTCCTCGAGGGGAGCCCTGTCCTGCTACTCAAAGCTCAGTGGCACAGCGGCTCCGGGCATCCAAGACGGGCTGAGACCCGGGGCGAGCCTTGGTGGGGGGGGGCGGGCTGGGCCCGCCGCCGAGGCGGGGCGGGGCCGGGCGGGGATGCCCCCGCGTTACTGGTGACGCCCCCGCCGGCGAGCTGCCGAGTCCGGGCGCGCCCCTGAGCGGCCGCGCTGCGGAGCCGCGGGGACGGCGCTGGGCTGAGCGGGTGCGGGTGCGCGGTGACCCGAGCGCCGAGCTGGCCCGGACAGCCGCCCGCCAGACCTCCCTGGACGCCGCGCGCCGGGACCCGGGGGTGAGCTGGGCCTGACTCCGAGAGCGGGGCGGCGAGCGCGCCGGCCCAGGGCTCTGGTCCCTGGGGGCGCAGAGCGGCCGTGTGGAGACCGTGCCGCCGGCGGGGGCTGGGGGGGGAGGGGCGTGCCCAGGAAGGGTTGGGGCGGGTTTCGAGCCGGGGACCGGGAGGAGCGTGGACGAGCGCCGGGCGGTGGGGGCTCGGCGGCCGGCGCTCCCCGCGCTGGCCCGTGGCGGCAAAGTTTGGCTTCCGGTCGCTGGTCTCGCCGCCCCGCAGCCCCGCAGGTGCCGCCCCTCCTCGCCGCCAGCCATGGAGCCCCCGGTCCAGATCTTCCGCGGAGTGGTCCCACCTGCCCCGAGCACCTGCTCCCAACGGCAGTGGCTGGTCGCCGGGCTGGGCCGAGCGGCACAGCAGCGGGGCTCCGAGGGCGCCGCAGCTGGAGCCCGCGCACATCTCTCCCGCCATCCCGGTCATCATCACCGCGGTCTACTCGGTGGTGTTCGTCGTGGGCTTGGTGGGCAACTCCCTGGTCATGTTCGTGATCATCCGGTGAGTGCGGGGTCTGGGCGGCTGCGGCTGAGGGGCGGGTGGGGGTTGGGGGAGGAGGCCCTGGGGTGGTCTAGTCACCCGGACGCCGGGTGGGGCGCCAAGCGGGTGGCGGGGATTCTAACCCGTCCTTGCCGGGCTCCGGAGAGTCTCAGAGCGTGGCCTCCTTGAAGTAAGGGATCTCCTGGAAGAGTTTTTGGTGGGGGACTGCGAGGCTCGCACTGCGCAGATCGGGCCGCCAGCGGTGTTTTGAGGATTTGAGTGACAGTCCTCTTGCCCCCCAAGCCCTTGCTGAAAACTGTGGTCAGGGAAAGTACTAGGGTGCGCAGCAAGGTCAGCGTCTCCTGGAAAGGGAGCTAAGTTCCTTTGCCTGGCCTTTTTGCCTGGTTGCCTGCCCCAGTTTGGAGCGCTTGGTTTTGTCCTCCGTGAATATTTCTTAAGGTAAGGTTCAGGCCCATCGAATGCACTGGAGATAGTTCAGAATTTCCTGTGACTCATCAGATTGGTGTTACGGTTTATGAAGCAAAAGCCAATATACTATTTAGGGTTGTTGATACCACACATGAGCCCTTTTAGTACTGAAATGTCATCTCATTTATTAAGAATATCAGTGATTTTTTGTAAATAAGCCATCTGATATTTATCCTCTGAAGTGTGGGTTGTGGAGGTTTTCAAAAATTGCCTTGCTTTTTATTTTCCACCGAGGGAAACTGAAGGTTCTATTACGTTGTTCTTTGGTAGAATTACATGGAAGTCGGTTTCTAGTAATGAATACCCAAATACCCACGTATATAGGCTATTTTCTGGTAAGTGAAATGATTCTTATTTTGGTCTCTTTCAACAAAGAAAACAAGAAAAGAAAAAAAAATCTCAACTTTGACCTGGAGGCCCTTTGAAATATGTGTGTTTTACTTTCTGGAAGATGTAATGCTTTGGAAATGCACCTTGGAGAGTGGATAAGGGGTTTCCATTCCTTTGAGATAAAGGACAAAGTCAGTCTTTTCAGGGATGCTGAAGGGTGAAGAAAAACTACTTTAAAAAAAATTCTCACTTTAGCTCCTTATTTATTATGAACCTTAAGAACATTATCTCTAGTAGCATGAGTCTTGAGATATCATCATCATAATAAAATGCCCATGTATTTATCTGTGTATCTAGTCTTCAGAGTTTCAGGTTTTTTATCTTCATCTGTGCTCCGGACCTAAAACCCATCATTTAAGCCTCCAAATATTATAAAGCTCATTTCACCTATAATTAGCGTTTGTACCTTGGTACACTGGGTTTCCATAATTGTGTATTGTATTTTACAGGAATTCTATCAGTGAGGAGTAAAGGCTACAGAGGGAGGGGAGATTTGAAAAGCACATCGTTTTTTCAAGTCATTAGTAATTTCAGGGCTGTTCTCCATTAGAAAGACGATTATGGCAACTGAAAGCAAAGAAAAGACAGCTGTGTTCTCAATTTCAATTAAAATTTTTAGGAGATCTTTGGTTCAGAGGCTGTGGTTTTGTGATAAAACCTTGTTACACAAAAAGAAGATGCTAGGAACAAAACCAACTCTGTTCCTACTTATGTCATATGTAAGTGCACCGGTAAAACAAAAACATCTTCTTGATATTTGAATGAGCACCTGAAGTTTTGAGTTTGAGAAGAGCTTCTTAGTTGCTTAACAACTATTTATATAGCTCTGCAGAGTAGGATAAAAAGGAATGAAGAATCTTAAAATGTGTGCAAAGACAACTCCGTGGGAGAACAGTAGACAAGAAATAGAAGTAGAAATGAAACAAATACATTTAACAATTACATGTAATTGTATATAATTAATAATCACCTTTATAAATAGTAATATAGTATACTTATTAATTATTCATATATTTATGTAACATGTGATATGTAATTGTCTATATGTACGTGTGTGTGTGTGTGTATACACGTATCTCCAAAAGATATCCAGGAATAAAATTTGCTAGAAGGGAATACATCCAGCTAAACATACACAAAAAGTTAGCTGGTTCACGTAACACCATTCGTCTTCTCACCCCAGCCCCAACTACTTGGAGATGAAGTATGAAAGGTGAGGGGTTATGCTATCGTCCTGGAATGCCAACGTACCGAAACATTGGTTTGCTTGCCATCTATAGCTAAGAGGACTAAGGAGTGTTTAGAATCAGTTCAGACTGGGGGAGGGTCAAAGAATTGAAAAAATAAAGCTTCAGAAGAAAAGTTGGTGGCCTCGGGTTTATTTCGCTCCGAAGAAGCAGCAGAAGATTTGAAAGGGGGGCGCTGTGGTGTTCACATGGGAACTGAGAGCCCAGGTGGAGTGCAGATTCAAACGCGGCTTTCATCTTCCGTGCTGAGGACTGAGCGACACTGTTTGAAAAGATTGAGGATCACTTTGGAGAACGACGCTTTTAAAATATTATACATTGGAAAGGGTCATGGTTCAGTCATCTGGGACATCGTTCTATAGACGGGGTTTAGATGCTTGGATGTCAGGACAGGTACAGGTCTGAAATGGCCAGCTCAAACCTGGGGAGAAAGTTAGGGTTGTGGAAAAAGGCTTGGATTATTTTTTAGACCCGTCTTACAAATAGCTTTCCTACCTTGGGTACCTGAACTGTTGCCCAGTATCCTCTGAATGTATTGGAAGCTTCGAGGTTTTCGTCATGTCTTAGTACCAACTGCCTTAACTGCCTCATGTCAGGGCACGGTAACTTCTCACTGTGGGCACCTTAAAACGAAGCACCCCAGCCTCCCTTCTCGCCAGGCTTTCTGGTTTGTGGCCCTGGGGTGGGAGGTTCTTACCTTGGCCCTGGATCTACGTCTTTGGCTCCTGCTGACACTTTGGGTGTGCCCACGGGCGTGGTGCTTAGGATCCTAACCCTGTGTGCTCTCCACCACCTCCTGTGTCCCTCACCTGCAGGGCACGCCCCGATGCCCACCCACACCCGGGTCTCGCCAGGTGGTCTCACCTGGGACATCTTAAACTTCCATCCTCCCACAACTTCCACGCATACAGCTGTCTCCCCCGTAGCAGACAGGACCAAAACTTAAGGGTCTGCCAGGCCGGTAAAGCTACCTACTTCGTGTGCGTTATTTCGTTTAATCTTGATGAAATAAACTGACTGAAGTGGCACCTTGCTAACTGTGGAGCCAGCCTGACCCAGGTCCTTCCTGCGCTTTAGTCCGCTGCTCAGCTCAGTTCCTGCTGTACCATCCTGCAAACCTGTGGATGCCTTCTTGCCCGGCAGCCCTTCATTTGCTCCCAGACTCTCTTTTCTTCTGGCCTCACCCAGACCTTGTGAGGCATCAGTCCAACCTCCCTTGCCAATACACTCAACTGCCTTGCCTTCTTGTCCTGCCTCTGTCTTCCACCAAACCTTCACCCTGGATCAAGCCACGACCTTGTCTTCCTGATTCCTCTACACAGCGAATTGAATTCTGCTGAATAAAGTCACTGTTATCTTTGCCAAGGCCAGGTCGCCGCCTTCAAGTGTATCTGACCCCAAGTCTGCCTGGTTTTTCTGTGTCTCTCTCCTATTTCCAGAAAGAGCCAATTCCCTTTCCCATTTCTCACTTAAAAAAAAAAAAAAAAAAAAAAAAAAACAAACCAAAAAAACACCCAACCCTAATTTAATCAATACTAATGCCTAAGCCCTCTCCCCGACCATAATTCTTCACGGTCAGGGGAATGGTCTGATCCAGTTGTGCACCGTGACTCTAGAATCCAGCTTCTGGGAGCACTTTTCCTACGTATGTGTTTCGGCAGCCGCCCTCCCCTCATTCCTTGCCATCTCAGTGGAGACGTTTCCTTCTTTCTGTCCAGGGTAATTCCCTGCCCCTGTGAGCTGAATCTCCTCACCTCCTGCTCTTCTGGAGTCTCTGCTGTGTCAGGGATCTCCTTCCTACGCTATCTGTAATCTCTCCACTGTCTCCTAAGCATCGGGACATCCTCAAACCTCTGTCATCTTACAGGTAATCAATGTCCATGACCCTGCTACTTTTCTGGGTTCCCTTAGCTAATGGCTTCTCATCTTCCTGTGTGTTGTAGGTAAGATTCTTGGAGGGATAATCCCTTTTGCTCATTTCTTTGTCTGCCATCCGTTCCTCAGCCCAGGGCACTTGGGTTCCCTCCCTGACGCTCTTTTACCAAAGTTAGAGCATCATCATGTTTCCGATGCTCGTTTTAGGCTGGCTGTCCCCTAACTTCTGTGGAGTTTTTTTTTAAGTTTATTTATTTGTTTGGAGAGAGAGAGAGAGAAAGAGAGTGAGGGCACGAGCATACTGGGGAGGGGCAGAGAGAGAGGGAGAGAGAGAATCCCAAGCAGGCTCTGTGCTGTCAGCACACAGCCTGATGTGGGGCTCCATCCCATGAACGGTGAGATCATGACCTGAACTGAAATTGAGAGTCGGACCCGTAACCAACTGAGCCACCCAGGCATGCCATTCTGGGGAGATTTGGCATGCTCGACCAATCCTATGCCCGTTGCATTCTCAGATAGCACCCTGTCCTTGACTCCCTGCCACGCCTTCTGGGTTTCTCTTGTCTGCATCACGGACCCCTCTTCCTCTCGTGTTTCTCAATTGGTCGTATTTTCCAGAGCTTTCTCGGAGCTTCTGTCCTCACTTTGCATACTCTCTGTATTAGTCAGGAATCAACCAGAACAGCAGAACCAGTAGGAGACGTACATGTGAAGAGATTCATTGTAAGGAATTGGGTTACGTGACTGTGGGGCTGGCTGAGCAGCTCTGGAACCCGTAGGGCAGGTGTCAGGAGAGGCAGGCTGCTGGCCCCAGGTGGAACTTCCTTCTCAGGGCAGCCGCTGCTCTGCCCTATGTTAGTGCACTAGGACCTTCGTGACAAAGTGCCACCCATGACTGGGTGGTTTAAACAAAAGAACTTGTTTTCTCACAGGGAGGACAGAAGTCTGAGGTCAAGGTGCCGGCCGGGCTGGTTTCTTTGGAGACCTCTCTCCTTGGCTTGTAGATGGCCCTTTTCTCCC